CAAAATATTAATCACTCAGAATTATAAGGTTAGAGACTGCTTATAATTATGAAAAAATAAAATATGGATTATCCATATAATATTCCAACCGCATCTTGATTATCCATTGACTTCTCTATTTTGTGGTTGAACTTATTTAAATTAATGGGTTATTAGTTTGAAACTTTTATTTATGTTAGATTTATTTTGTTGGACCTTGATTTTACTAACGAGCAAAGATATAAATGAGTCGCGCTAGTTCGAGTCGGAACTTATTTTCAATTATTAATGAGCAATTACGAAATCTGCTCGTGAACTTTTCATTAATCATTTACTTACTTAGAGTTACAAATTAAGTACGTGTTCAGTTCATCAAACTCGATTCGAGATCGAGTTTATGAAAAAAAAAAAAAAGTTTCAAATTCGAGCTCAAACTCAATAAATGTTGTCGGGCTCAACCTGAGCTCGAGTTCGTTGCACCCCAACTAACGATATAGATAAGTTCAAATCAACTCGAAACGGAATGCAATGTAATTACACCTCGACTAAATATCACATCCATATCGTAAGAGTTCAATTTGATTCGACATCTATCCTCGTGCTTTAATGTTTGTTATTCTCTAAGCAACCCATGAATAATAAAAATAAAAGCACGAGGATAAATCTCGAGTCAAATTGACATGGGTTGTGCAATAACTGAGTTTCGTTCTGTACGTACGAGGTTGTCGTGCTTCAATGGGCGGTCTGTACGTAGGATTGGAAATTGTTTAATTAATTACCTTGAATTACTACTACCCACGAGCATGGAGACTTCCTGTAATTTTTCATTTCCGGCGGCGGCGGGGAGAATATTTGCTGGAGAAAACAAAAAAGAAAGAAAGAAGAAAAAACAGAGAAAGGAGAAGCTAGACACGAGAAAAGGAAGCATAATGGAAAATGAAACATGAAATTAGGATTTTGAAAGAGTATATTGGACAATTAGGGTAGTTTTGGAATTTTTAAAATAACATTTGAGTGGTATATTAGCTAAGGGGATTTTCTCTAATTATTTTTGGGATGATGTGTTTCCTTAGCTACATTTTCTAGATGAGGGTTCCTGCTAATTTTTCCTAAAAAGAATCAGCTGAGCTCGAGCTCAAAAAATCTGCTAGACTCGATTACACTCCTTTAATTTTATGCCCTGAATCTAACCGAAAGTTGCTTAATGAGCGAAAAATGTATAACAAAAGTAGTATTATGGGTGGACACTTTTATTTGAGCCTTAAGGGAAAAAAGAAATTTGTTTTGAAGGGGTGAAATGCAATTTACCAAACATGGAACAATAGAAAAAAACTCAAATAATATTATTGAAAGAAAATGGGAAACCATGCATCTTTCAACCATGTCGGAGATTCTACGTTCCCCATTGGTTCTCTCCCACAACACAACAAACATGCAAACCTATTCGTTACTACATTCTACGTCCACTATTCAATTTCCTAAATTAAGCAAAAAAATATTTTGGGCATTCTTCCTTTCTCTCTCTACCTCAACAAACAAACCAATCCAATTCCTAGAGAGAGAGAGAGAAGGGTGAAAAAAGAAAGAAAGAAAAAAAAAAAAGGACCAAGCTTTCCTCTTTGGCTCGTAATAATCGCCATTTTCCCGGTTAATTCAGCTTTAATCGCACCCAGGTATTAATCATTTCGTTTCGAATTTTTGAGTTTTTTTTTTGGGGATGATTTAATTTACGGGATATATTATAATTTATAATAATGAATGAATTTAGGAGGTGGATTATTGTTAATCGAGTAGATGACGACGAGTCAAGGGGGGTTATCGTCCCGGAGAAGTATGTCGTTGACGCACTCTTCGTCTCAGTCCCGGAGAAGAGCCGCCGCCGCCGCTGCCGCCGCGTTGGAGAACGTTGGCGGCGGCGCAGGAGGAGGCGCTGGGGACTCCTCCTCCTCTAGCCGCAAATCTCTTTCGACTTCTCGTTCCATGTATGTTCCATCTACTTTACTACAAAATATTTCTTTGTTTAATGATTTAAATACTCTTGCACTAATAACGAAACATTTAGAGACGAAAATATTCGAAACAATCGACTTAATTAGCAAGCTTTACTTAATCACCACCGTACCGCATTGCATTCCGTATACGATTGTTGTTTATAGCGTATAAAATCAAATATCGAAGAAGTGTCTTTTTGCAATAAAAGAAGTTCGATTATTTCGTATTGAAGATAAAGTTTCCGTCGTATTTGCAATAGGGGACTAAATGGAGAACGAACGGTGAAGAGATTGCGTCTATCGAGAGCATTAACAGTACCCGAAACGACAACTATTAAAGAAGCTTGTCATAAAATGGCTGCACGTAGAGTCGATGCCTTATTGCTAACCGATTCAAATGCGTTATTATGTGGGATCTTAACCGATAAGGTATTATAACTCGAAAAAAAAACAAATTATGCTTCAAATTCTCGTATCCAAAATCATACAATCTTGCCGAAAATGTGACTTTTTTTAATAATTATTTTATAATTAAGGATATAGCTACAAGAGTTATTGCTCGTGAGATAAATCTCGACGAAACGCCTGTTTCCAAGGTTATGACAAGGAATCCGGTATTTGTGCTTTCCGACACTCTTGCTGTTGAAGCCTTGCAAAAGATGGTTCAAGGTTAGTTTTCGACTTTTCGAATCGAACTAAGTGTCAAAAAATTCAAGTGTCATGATTCAATTTTATTAGCAAACTATTAGGGGGTTGTGTGCTAAAAAATGTAGTATAGGGTTTTTTTTTGCTATTATTTATAACACGAGGAGTTTTTTAGCAATTCAGTATGATACAGGGGTGCTAAATGCAATAAACTCCGAATTTTGGTTTCGATGTAGCCTTTATTTATTTATTTATTTTTTTAATATTATGATATTTTATCCGACAGGAAAGTTTAGACATTTACCGGTTGTCGAAAATGGAGAGGTGATTGCTCTGCTCGACATAACGAAATGTTTGTACGATGCAATAGCTCGTATGGAGAGAGCCGCAGAGAAGGGAAAGGCAATTGCAGCTGCTGTTGAAGGCGTCGAGAAACAATGGGGAACATCGGTTTCAGGTTTGTGGACAATCAGCTAAATACTTAGGCCTCGTTTGGTTGGTAAAGATAAATCATGATTGATTAAATAAATTAAGTCTTATTTGATGTTCGGTTAGTGCAATAATTTTTCGGGCCGGGCCACAATTTTTAGGAAATGGTTGTAATCTTGGCTAATTGAAAGATTATTTCACGGACTTCTCATAGTCCAACAATACGATTGGATTTTTATATGATTATTTAATATTATTTTGGCTGATCTTATCTTAGGAACCAAACAAGGTCTTAGACTTTATTTTTTGGGTAAGATATAGAAGTCATCATCAATTAAATAATTATGTCTTGTTTCATGTTTGGTTAGTGCAATAACTTTTCGGGCTGACCTGCAATTATGAATAAAATGAGTTTTTATGTCGACGAATCTTATCTTGAAATTTCGAGAACCAAACAAGGCCTTAGATTACAAAAATAGGTGAAATCAAGAGTAAAATGTTTTTCTCATTTGTTTTGTTTTGGTTGTATTGTAATCAATATTTATATATTACGATGTTCGGTTTTGTCGGCCGAATTTTGAGTTTGATCACTTTTTTAAACTCGTTGAAATATAGGTCCCAACACATTCATCGAGACACTTCGAGAGCGGATATTTAGACCCTCGGTGTCTACTATAATACCCGAGAATTCAAAGTAGGTAATACCTTCACTTGTACTAGTTATTTATATTCTTTTCAAAATAATTTCCCCGTATAATAACGGGACGCTAAATGCACCTCAAATGTTGCTACTAACGGTGGTTTAGGATTGCTACGGTCGATCCAAGCGACACGGTGCTAGCTGCTGCAAAAAAGATTCTTGAACTCCGGACTAGCTCCGCAGTTGTTACGGTAGAAAACAAACCTCGAGGAATACTAACGTGAGCTTTTTCTCGTGTTGAGATATATATACACATTTAAATCAAACATTATAATTGTTTCAAACTGTATGAATTTTGATTATTTAATATTCTCTTAATTCTTTTCTTAGTTCGAAAGATATGCTGATGAGGGTCATAGCCCAAAATCTTCCGCCAGAATCAACTACAGTCGAGCAGGTACATTAATTTAATTTATCGATAATTTAATATTTCGCTAAATTAAATGAAATTTTGTTAGTCTAGAGTTTATAAATTTATAGAGGTTTAACTGTATATGCTTTCTGTTTTTTGAGTAATTCTCTATATTAATTCTCCAGGTAATGACTCCAAATCCGGAATGTGCGACGTTGGATTCACCTATAGTTGACGCTCTTCATACTATGCATGACGGGAAATTTTTACACCTTCCGGTAATTGATAAAGGTACATACATTTATACTTAATTCATTTCCGAGAAAATAAATACATATACTAAAATATGTCGAAAGTTTCGTTAATTCTTTTACTTATGAAACTTGTAACATAAATGATACAGACGGAACAATTGTAGCTGTCATCGATGTGCTTCATATAACTCAATCTGCTGTAGCCACGGTAAGTCACATTCGATTTTCTCGACCCTTAATTTTTTTTGAATAAATTGAAATATAATTATAATATTTTTTTTATTTTGAAAAGGTCGGAAATAGTGGCGGAGGCAATAGTGAATCTGCAAATATGTTGATGCAGAGCTTTTGGGATTCGGCCATGGCGTTAACTCCAGACGACGAGGAAGAAACACTGAGGTAGTTTGTCATTAAGGTTATATAAAACTCAATATTCTTGTTCCGTCTCGCTTTTATTTTTCAAATTTTATTTATTTACAGTAGAACCTCGATAAATTAATAACCTCGTTTAAATAATAATTTCTTACAGTCCCGAGTCGGTAAAAACGTACTAAATTATTAGCACAATAATTTAATATTTCGCTAAATTAATAGAATTTTGTCAGTCCTTACTGTATTAATTTATAGAGGTTTATCTGTATTGTGTTATAATATGTCAGTGAGAACTCGTTGAAGATGCCTTCCGACGTAGGAGAGACGGGCCGTTCGATTCCGCAACAGCCTTCTTTAACAACAAGCAATACTTTCTCTTTCAAGATTCAAGATAGAAAAGGGAGAATGCATAGGTTCATAAGTGGTATGTATCTCTCTTTCACCCTAGTGGTTAAACTATTGCATTTAACACCCCTCTGTTTACTCTAATTGTCAAAAAACTCCTTGTGTTATAAATATTAGCAAATACCCCCTTTCGTGCAATTTTATTAGCAAACTACGCGCTAAAGATGTACTACAATTTTAAGTGGTTTGTTTCTAAATTCTAATATTTATAACACGAGGAGTTTTATAACAATTCGGTATCATACAGGGGTAGAAAATGCAATAAAATAGTTGCTAAAATCCTGTTTAAAATTGAAGCGAAAGTTCTTTAAGTCTTTAAAATCTCCAATTTTAACCATTTTACATTTGAATATGTTTTATTTGTCAGCGTTTCATACTTCGCGGTCGTAACAAAATTTCTTTCCCTTTTTTATTCCTTTTTTTTTTGGGCTTTTTGAGTTCAGATACACAGAACGTGACCGAACTTATAACGGCAATCCTTCAGAGAATCGGGGCTGAAATCGACCGTAACAACCCTCCACAAATTGTGGTATATATTTAGCATCAATCAACTCTCAACTACATATATATATTTTTTTTATTTTTCTCAAAAATTCCAAAATCTTACGATCTTCAGCGGCTGGTTTTTTTTTTTTTTTTTCCGTAGTACGAAGATGAAGACAATGACAAGGTTGTCCTCGCATCAGACAGTGATCTTCAAGCAGCTGTATACCATGCAAAGCTCGCTGGTTGGAAGGTATTAACACGGTTCTACACTACTCGATAAATAACAAATATTTACGTAAAATACTAGAATTTTGAGAAGTCAAGTGGGGCCATGGCCCCCCTTGGCCCTATGCTGGTTCCGGTTATGCTTTTTCTCTTTTGTGTTTAAATAGAATCCGGACTAACAAAATTTTGCGATTATTAATGTGACAGGGACTGAGATTACATTTAGACTATCTAGGAGGACTTCCTCGCAATCGAAAGGGATCGAAGATGGAATATGCCGAAGGAGATGGATCGGCTTCTTCGGCATATAGTGCTGTAGCAGCTGGAGCTGCACTAATTGCTTGTTTAGGTTTTTATGCATACTTGAGGAGACTTGGAAAATGAGAGTGCCTTCACTTTGGAATATTTGGTTTGGGTATATAGAAACTATACACATATAAAAACATATTATACACACGTATAGGAAAGTTGTGTTTTTTATTTTCTGCTGTAAAATCCATTTTTGTTTTTGTTTCTCTTGAAATAAGCTCTTTAAAGCTATTTTCTTGAAAAAAAATACCCCTAGGCCTACTTTTTATATTTAAATTTATTTTTCCAAAATATTTGCAAACACCCTAAACTTTTCAAAATAAACACTTAATTCACAATCACTAACTTATTTTTTGCATAAGCGTTTGCAAACACCACCTGGTGAGTGAGTGATGTTACATATGGTATTCCCTTTATATTTTACGCACGTGTATAACATATACCATTGCCAATTATCAAACATTAACACAATGTTCGATAATTGTGTTAATGTAAAAAACCGGGGGTGGGGGGCGTTCGGCCCCCCTCCCCCGGTTTTTTTGCTTTTTTATTTTTTTATAAATTTTTTTACGCATTTTTCAGGAAAATCAACACAATGCGATGTAGACGTCAAGCGTAAGATATTCTAAATAGTGTTTGATTAGTTTAGTTTTATCGGATTTAATATATTATAGTATTTTATTATGTCAAATTTAGTACTTTATTATATCGAACTTAGTACTTTATTGAAATAAGTAAAATTGACAAACTTAGTACTTTATTATGTCGAACTTAATATTTTATTATGTCGAACTTAGTATTTTTATGTATTGAGAAATCCTAATATAAGAGATATTTAAATAAGTAAAATTGAAATTATAAAAAAATATATATATAGAAATAAGTAAAATTGAAATTATAAAAAAAAAATTAAATAAATAAAATTGAAATTATATAAAAAAAATATTGAAATACGTAAAATTGAAATTATAAAAAAAAAATATTGAAATACGTAAAATTGAAATTATAAAAAAAAGATATTGAAATAAGTAAAATTGAAATTATAAAAAAAAAATATTGAAATAAGTAAAATTGAAATTATAAAAAAAAAAAGATATTGAAATAAGTAAAATTAAAATTATAAAAAAAATATTGAAATAAGTAAAATTGAAATTATAAAAAAATTATTGAACTAAGTAAAATTATAAAAAAAAGATATTAAATAAGTAAAATTGAAATTATAAAAAATATATTGAATTAAGTATATTGAAATTAGAAAATTAAAAAAAAAAAAAAAAAAAAAAAAGAAAACACTGCTGAACGCCCAGACCGGACGCCCAAACCAGACCCGGACGCCCAAACCGGGCGCCCATATTGTCACCGAACGCCCAAACCGGGCGTTCATTGGTATTTTACATGCCCAAACCGGGCGTGAAAAATGCTGGTTTGGGCGTTCACTATGCGCAAATTTCCCCCAAAAACAGACCTGAAATTCGATTTTTAGAGTTGTTTAACATGCAATTACAATCAAAATTTCATATCCAATGCAATTAAAATGTTTAAGAGTTGAAAATTTCTCAAAATTTCGATGAATTTGGCTTCAATTTGAATTTTTTGATTTTTTTTTCCTGAAGTTTTTTTTTTGTTTAGAGAGAGAAAGCTTTTTGGGGTATGAGTTGCAAATAGCAATTTTCAGACCCAAAAAGCATTTCACATATTTTTTCACTAATTACTCTTCTATTCCACTAATTAGATTACGCATTTATGGTCGCGGCCGGTGGCGACCGAGACCTCCCTTGGAAAAATATGGACTCAAACCCCTCCTAATTTGTAAAAAAGTATACAATATATTAGTCCAGCCAATTTTATATTTTAGTCCACTCAATTTTCAAATAAAGCCAAAAAATCCTAGTTTTAATTTTTTCTTACTTTTTAATTACTTTTTTTCCTATTTTCTTGTTTTGTCAAAACAAATCCCAATTGTTTTTCCTATGAGGCAGCATCTAATCCACCCAATTTTTATTACTCAGCCCATTCAAAATCCAAATTAATGCAAAAAAAAATCCTATTTTTTTTCTTTTTTATTTTCCTGATTTCTAGTTTTACAAAAAAAACAATTATAAACAAAATTTCGGGGGCGCCACCGTCCAACCCTTTTAAGCCTACTGTGTAACAAGTTCTGAACTTGCCACTGGTCGCCGCTCAAAGAAACTGTGTATATATACAAACTGATAAGTCATTAGTTACATCTTCAAACTAAATAAATGTGAGAAATCATTCTTCCATGATTTCATCACCAGCCACCAATCAAGCTCGATGATATCTGTCAAAATCAACAATATGATTTGGACAAATGCTGGAAATCAGCTTGCAGTTATAAATGTTTATTATTCTCCATAAAATCTCCAATTTAAAAGCTTGCAATTATACTAAGATTTTGTGTAAAGTGTAACAGTTTATCAAGTAAAATACAAATTAAATACTCTTTCAAAGAATATTGTTCAAATTCAAATCTCCACTCATTAGGGCTTTTTTCAAGATTTTCTTGCAAATGTATATATATTATTCTTGCTTTCTTTTAATTTCACTTTCTTGGTGGGTCCCACCCAATTTTGCACGCCAAAGTAAAACTGCAGTAGTAGCAGCTAAAAAGAAAAAGAAAATAAGTTTGATTGTGGGTTTCTTGATTTTCCTGATATTAGCCAAAAAAAAAAAAAAAATCATAATCAAGAAAATAAAAATGAGGATTGTTTTCTTGATTTCCCTAATAATTATTACACTGTCATGTGTTTTCCGACCAACCCAGCAGCAGCAGCAACAGCAGCAGCAGAAAATCAAGACCGTTGTGGTATTAGTTCTTGAAAACAGATCATTCGACCACATGCTCGGTTGGATGAAGAAATCCGTAAACCCTTCCATCAACGGCGTAACCGGCAATGAATGCAATCCAATTTCAACAACCAAACCCTCACCCGACAAAAAAATCTGCTTCTCCGCCGATGCCGAATACGTGGATCCGGATCCGGGTCACTCATTCGAAGCGGTCCAGAAACAGGTATTCGGGTCAACATCCTCAACTATTCCTTCAATGTCCGGTTTCGTGGAGCAAGCATCCACCATTTCTCCGAATCTATCCGAAACTGTAATGAAGGGTTTTAAGCCCGAAAACGTCCCGATTTACGCAACCTTAGTTCGCGAGTTCGCCGTTTTCGATCGATGGTTTTCTTCGATACCCGGTCCGACTCAGCCGAACCGGCTCTTCGTCTACTCGGCAACTTCTCACGGTTCCACTTGCCATGTGAAGAAGCTTCTCGCGAAAGGGTTCCCGCAAAAGACGATTTTCGACTCGCTCCACGAAAACGGGTTCGGTTTCGGCGTCTACTTCCAGAACATACCCACGACGTTGTTCTATCGAAACTTGAGGAAATTGAAGTACATATTCAAATTCCACCAATACAATTTGAGGTTCAAGAAAGACGCTCGGAACGGGAAGCTGCCTAGCTTGACCGTGATCGAGCCCCGCTACTTCGACTTGAAGGGTTTACCGGCGAACGACGATCATCCTTCGCACGACGTGGCTAACGGGCAGAGGCTCGTGAAGGAGGTCTACGAGGCGTTGAGGGCCGGCCCGCAGTGGAACGAGATGCTCTTGGTTATTACGTACGACGAGCATGGCGGATTTTACGATCATGTCGCTACGCCTTATGTTGATGTACCCAATCCAGATGGGAACACGGGCCCGTCGCCTAATTTCTTTAAGTTCGATAGGCTCGGTGTTCGTGTGCCTACAATTATGGTCTCTCCTTGGATCAAGAAAGGAACTGGTATATACATGTTGTTGGCTGCTGGTTACTTCGTTATTAAAAAAAATGGAGTAAAATAAAATTAATGTAACTAGAAAATTTAAAATTTGTTCAATTGTGATTTGTTCATCAAGATTTAGTTAGTATGCTTTTTTTATGATGACTTATTTATTTTGTTTTTTATGTGTAGTGATAAGCAAAGCTAGAGGTCCAACACCAAATTCTGAGTTTGAGCATTCTTCAATCCCTGCTACAATAAAGAAGATTTTCAATTTGTCATCCAATTTCCTTACACATAGAGATGCTTGGGCCGGCACGTTCGAGCAAGTCGTTGGTGAATTAACTTCTCCGAGAACCGATTGCCCAGGTAATCTTTGGCCTCGTCTCATCGGGCAGATGTGTCATGATTAATCAAATAATCTATATTACATATGTCGATCCAAATGTTCAAATACTCAACTCTCATGATAAACGCCAATTGTTTGCAGAGGTTTTGCCTGAAGTGGCTCCTCTAAGAAGGACCGACGCAGACGAAAATAGGGACTTGTCGGAATTTCAAGGAGAGGTGGTGCAATTGGCGGCCGTTCTCAACGGCGATCATTACTTGAGCAGCAAGAAAACTATGAATGTGAAGGAAGCTCACGAGTACGTTAAGGGTGCCGTTTCGAGGTTCGTAAGAGCAAGCAAAGAGGCTATCAAGTTGGGCGCGAACGAATCCGCCATTGTTGACATGAGGTCTTCTCTTACTACTAGATCATCCTCAATCCGCAACTAATTTGTATTTTTTTCGGTGCGTATGTAGTAATTTGTTAGCATCGTTAGAAAATACTATTAGATCATGGTTTAATTTGTATACCATCTATAACTGTAGCACGAAAATTTCAACTTCTTAATGTATTCGTGTTTCGGACACATTTCATGTCCGACATCTGAGGTCATCTTTCGGACATCTTATGTGACATTTTGCAATTTCTAACAATTAGAAATATGTTTGAATAGCAAATTTCCAAATATTTTTGTTGCTTCCCTAATTATTTACATGATTTAACGATTAATTGTAAATTAATAGTTGATAATTATATATATTTTAAATATATTTGTAGGGAAATTTATAAAAAGGACTTATATATAAATAATAATTTATATATGTTTATATATCAGATTTATAAATATACCCCTATATTTTTAATATTTACACGTTTTCTTCAAGTTCTTGTATCCCCATTTTTGAGACATGCCGTTTCCCCATTTCTTTGTCCGTGCTACATAGATAACAAATCATTCTAAATTGTTCACATATATAAAAGTGAACATTGTTTTGAAACATCACTTCAATAAATCATTCCAAGTAAACATTGTTTATATTTTACACAACTATTATATTTTATCGTTTTAAGTTATAATTTGAATTTGAACTTACCACCATATGTTAGTGACTATATTTTCATGGTCGTATCGTATCCTCATAAGATATTGCTCGTGCTTGAATAGCCGCATAAATAGCATCATATTCGAGACCAAGACCACTCTAAATTTTGACAATAAGTTCTTCATATGAAATTGGAGCACCGGCAGTGGCAAGTTCATCGGCAACACATCGTACTTCAACAATATATTCGGCTATTGTTTTGGTTTCTTTCGAAACTTTGGTCAAAGAGTTTCGGAGGCTGAAAATCCTAGTATGCGACTTATTTGCGTACAAGGTGTGCAGGGCATCCCAAGCTTTTTTTGAAGTGGTAGCACCAAAAATGGTGGAGGTGATGGTTGGATCAATCGATGTCATCAATGCATTGTGAATAAGTTGATCTTATCGGAACCAAAGTTTGTAAAGTGGATTGGAAATTTGTTGATTATTGGAATGGTTGTTTGTGATGGAGGAGTAGAGGCGCTGGAAATCATGGCTAGAAAAAAAAATTGGAGTGTTCAAAGCTCTGTGCCATATAGAGTTGTATAAGAGATTGAAAAAGATGATTAATTTCATTTATTTCCACGTAATTATGCAGGTATAGAAACTAACCACTAAATAAACTCTCAGTATTTCTAGGAGATACAAGATAAATACAAATCAAGAATAACAACTTAATAATCTACAACTTAAGAGACGGAACGAATCTCGAACGGTTGAAGATAAACTCTAATAATAGTAATTAAATTTCAATTATACTTAGTAACAAAGATATCAATGTTATAAGTTATAACTATTTCAAAATAATCAATTTAAAGTACAAAAATATATATATATATATATGTTTGTTTTTTAATATGTTTTGGTTGTTTAGATAATGTTAACATGTTGGAGCATGGTTTGTGTAGGTTGTTTTTTAAATTGTTCAAAATTTATATAAAACACGTTGGAGATATACACTCAAATATATACATGATACAACTAGTGGAGTCTACAATCAAGTAAGGATGTACCTTTCACTCACACACAAAATGGGAAAAATCATTGAACTGCCATTGTTGTGTATATATATTGTTTTTGAAAATTTTGAACCAATATTTGTAACTTAATTAATTAAAATAATATTCCGTTTCATAACTAAAATAAAAGAACCGTCGACAGCAGGGTTCGAACCTGCGCGGGCGAAGCCCAACAGATTTCAAGTCTGTCTCCTTAACCACTCGGACATATCGACTGGTGAAGATATTATGTCTCATTCAATATATAATCTTTAATACTAATTATGATTTATTGTATATATTAAATTCAACAAACGACTCCATTTATAATTAGGATTCATAGTAAATCAAAGACAGAAAATATAAGACAGAGAAGATATAAAACTTAGACATGGTCCTAATGATTCGGTACCAAAATCCTCGGTACTATCAAATGCAAATGAGTATTAATCGTCGGGTTGTTTGATTTCCTTGAAAATTTAGAGTGTTTTCTATTCTACAAAGAGTATTTTTGCTGGCTTGATCGTCGGAGGTTAATCACCGGGCCAACCCCGACGAGTCATCTAGTGATTGCCTCGATTTTATAGGTTTGGGTCTAAGAATTTTTACTATGCAAGAAGACTATCGCTTGACATTAGGATTGTAACACCACGTCCACCTTAGACACGTAGCAAATAATCCTATTTTCCCGATTTATTTGAACTTGAAGATTCGTGAGTGTTTTGGGGCAGCATCAAATACCAAACTAAAGTCTTAATAATTTGATTCTAAATTCCATAAAATGTAGTCAAAGTTCTAATAGAATATTTGCAAAAAGATCATACAAATTGCATAAACTATTAATTCAAAATATAAATTACCAAAAAATTACGAAAATAAAAATTAATTATGTGAAAATGATGGGATTATTGGAATAAGGTGATGAATCAGAAAAAG